CTATCGTTTTGGTGGGTGACTTGACATCTTCGACCAGCTGAGTCAGCCACTTGTCGAAATTCGGTAGGTCATTAATCTCCTCTGCGCTCTCCGCTCTTGTCTAACTGAAGAGGTCCCAATCTGTGAATTTGAAAGCTTTAGGGGCCTTTGCCTGAATTCGTAATGTCGTACTCAAAATACAGTAGTCGTTCCCCAAGTCCTTTTCCAAGTTTAACTGTGTTGCCTCCCCCGTGGTTGCGACAAAGGTGACGTGTGGGGTAGTATCCCTAGAGCAAGAATTTCCAGTGCGGGTAGGAAACATGGGGTCAGTGACCGAAATCAGATTCAGATCCGATACCGCTTGCCAAAGCTCGGCTCCCTTGGCAGTGGTGTGAGGGTAGCCCCAAGCATGATGGGGTGCGTTGCAAATCTCCCACTATAACTATGGGTGCGTCCACTTTCCTAGCGATCGTAATGGCTTTTGATAACATTTAGGTGAAGCGATGGTGCCTGCCTCTTGAAGAGCTATATATGTGGAGTATGAAAATGCTATTTTTAAGGTTGCTGCCTGGTATAATTTCTAAAAGAGAGCGTTCAATTTTGCTATTTGCCATGTGCAAATTGTGCTCAATGTAAGTGTACTTCTTGGACACAAACGTGCAGATACCGCGGCCATCTGGAGGTTTCGTGACGTGATGGGTGTAGATCAGCTGGGATTTAATATACTGTTGTAGAGCTGCCTTCTTTGATTGGAAGCCCCAGCAGTTCCACTGCCAAATTACGAAATTGTTAAGGTGTCTTACCATTGGTGGGCCCCTCAAAAGCTCTCTCCTGAGAGACGCTACAGGTTGCCACCTTCTGCACGATCCTGACCTTAGGTATTACTTGGGCCGGAGTAGCCTCGGCAGATTGTAAAGCTTTAACTTGGTCAGCCTCGATCTTTGTGACTCTGCTGTCCAATACCGCAATCGACTCGACCACCGCCTTGAGAGCCTTTTTGATTTCATTCAAAGTATTCTTCACCTGTGTTTTGAAATCTGTGTCCTCATTATTGGCAAGTTGTTCTAGCGCTCTCTTTTTTGTTGGTTTTGCCGCTGGCTGGACGTCCATGGGTACCTCATCGTGACTCGCATCCGATGCGGCCTCTGTACAGGAAACTGTGTTTGAAGGAGACGGAGATGAAACCTGCTGTGATTTCCTTAAGTCGGCTGTTTCAGCCCTGAGTTGCTTGACAATGGCCCTGAGATTAGCATTTTCCCTTTGCATCTGTGCGTATATATCTGAGTGTTGCTCTGGATTGGCACCCCCTCTTTACCTGTGGTTTGGAGCCCTTGATCATGGATGCCCAGGTCTGGTGCTGACTTCCCTGCTGCATACCATTGCAGATGGTAGGCGCCCGTGAGTTAGAACGGCCCTTGGATCTAGAATGTCCTCTGGATCTCAAACGGCCCCTTGCTCCGCCTCTGGAGCAGGATCGCCCTCGTGGTGGTTGCAGCTGTTGGCTGACGTCAGGCGGGCGCCAGCTGCTACTCCGTCTAGCTAAGTCGTAGCGCGGCTGGTAGCGATGGGAAGTCTCCTCCACTATCTGTGAAGTTCATGTCGTCAGCGTCTTGTTCCGCAAATTCTATCGTGTATCGCATCCGTCGCTCTCATCTTCATCGACGGGCTATGTAGAGCACTTGAAAACGATGCTTACACGTCTTGTCTGCCGTGGGATGTGGACCCCCACACAACTTGCATTCTGGGGTGTAGACATGATCCTTCGAAGGAGATCACATACCACAACCTCTACAGACCTCCTCTTCTGGATGGGGACAGACATCGGCTCGATGACCTAGCTTTCCACAGGCATAACAGACATTCGTCTGTTGACGATACAGTGTGCAGCGAACAAAACTATTTCCACGTATGACGTGATTTAGGACTTTTAGTCCGTCAAAGAGGATGATCACTGTGGTGGAATTCTTGATTCTTTTCGGGTTCCTTGGGTGTACGATAAGTGAATAAAGTTGTTCTTGACCGATGTTCGCGTCAATACCCTTGATGATACCTTTGCACGTGTCATCGGGGGCAGCTCGGTAGGCACTAACATCAAAACTAGCGATACCGAGAGTAATGGCAGTGATCTTGGAGTACGCTCTGGCGTTCCTTTCCGCTGGAGTGCTTATAACTGCGATGTTCTGCTTCATGTTAGGGCATACCACGTCTTCCGCGACTTCTTCCTCACTGAGCGCTGCAGCCACTGCGAGTGACTTCGCGAACTTAATTTGACTCACAGTTTTCATATCCAGGCCATTTCTAGGTTTCACGATGACTCGATGGTGATCTCTTTGAAGGTGAGGAAGTCTAAAAGCAGCGGTAAGACGCTTTTTCACCGCAGCTCGGGAGCGCTGAGACGACCATGCGCCGTCGTGCATGGAGACGCTTGCTTGCGTCTCGGTCCTGGGGGTATGCGTCCCACGAAGCTTACGTTTAGTGGTAGCCACAGACCATCCAGAATCTTGAAGATCATCGGGAGTGACACCCGCCCCATCGACAGAGACTTGCATAGACATTCCGTGCGTAGAGGCTGAGGCCGCTCCACCGTAGCCTCAGCTTAGCGCGCTCAGCTGAGCGGATGGGCAACCAGAAGAGTCTTGAAAAAGGGTCAAAAAGCTGTATCTGTTTCTCATCCCAGGAGGATAAGAAACAGAAAAATATATGTTGCATTGAGGAGGAGGTCGAAATGCTTACAAAAGAAGAAAAGAAACTAGAAGCCAGTGTTAAGCAATTAACAGCTTTAGAAGACTCGTATGCAGAAAAGACAGAAACAATTAGTGACTTGACGTGCACCATAAAGTCAGACAGCCATAGGAAGACTGCCAAGACCAAGCTGCAGAAGATAGTGGATATTGATATGAAAATTCAGAAAAGGCAACAAGTCATTGTGTAATAACTGTTCCCTTATTTTTCCTATCTGAATAAAGATTTGCAACTCATGTCATACTGAAAGTTATTACGTATGCAACTTTAAGAAACTATTGTTGAATTCAAATGGCGGAGTCGGAGCAAGTTTTTCCTGCTCTTTACGGAGCAAGTGTGTTCCATAGGAAGAGTGAGGGCGGGAGTCAAGTGTTCCAATGAGAGGGTCGGAGTGGATTTAGAGCGGGAGTGGCTCTGAAGAGCAGGAAAAGTTGCACCACCGAAATCTGCGGAGTGGATCGGAACTCGGTGTGGTGCAATCTTTTTAACACATTCGCCTGCTATGCGGCTGCCGCTGTCGCGTGTTTTCGTGTTTTGCGACAGCTCCGATTCTGAGCCCTTCAGTTTTTGCACAAGCAGTTGATCGGATTGTGTCACTGACACCCATACCAATGAGCCACGTCGGCACTTGAAACTTCGTTGCAAACTGACCGTAACCAAGCATCATGTTGGGAAAGAAATCGTGTTAATACGTGTAATAAAGCGTTTCAGAACTGTAGAGGAACAACCAGGCATCGCACAATGTGAATTGCATAACGAGTTGGTCATCGAATGCTCCAACCAATTACAAAATCTTCATGCATAATTTATGTAAATTAATTCTCCTCATCAATCGCAGCACCAAGAAATCGCACAAAATTCCTTAAAGATACGTAGCGAGTACTACTCCTCTTCAAAAAAATGATGAAGGATGGCGTAGTGAATGCCTCCTTACTACACAAGAATCATGATAGCTTATGGTGTAGGGGTTACCCTGCAAGTGTTTAAAAAAGGTTCTAGAAAGGCCACTCTTCCAGCTTTTGTTGTGACAGGGCTGCACGTTCCGTGCAGGCCTGGCAGTTTTTTATTGACACAATTTTGACATATTGCCATGCTGTCATTACATACATGGCCGTTCCTTAGTGGAATTTGCACAGGTGGTGGTTTAGTGAAAAAAAAAAAAATGGCACTTAAAAAACAGAGGCAAGACAAGCTATAGCCTAACGGAAATAACATGAGGCCGAGTCGGTTATTGTCAGCACTACTCGACTGGCGTTCACTTATTTTTAGATTGAGCTTTGCCTGCGAAACTTATTATAGCAGAAAGAAGTGGCTGTGACATTAATGTGTCTTATTTGCCACGTGACATCATCAAAACATGGTGACAAGGGTATAAAATCAGGGAACAGTCCACTTTGTGAGGAGCATGTCCGTGCCCTGTCTGAAGCTCAATAGAGCTTATACTACTTTAAAAACTCTTCAGATATTTCTAGGAAATAGTACAGAAAATGATTGTCACACTTTATGGCATATGAGACAGCACAAAAGAATTATACATGAAAATTTAATAGAGAGAAAAATAGAAATGCAAATGTGTACGTATGTGTGTCTGTGACAATGAATGTTTCACAAATTTACCACAATGACTCTCATACGGAATCGCTGTCAGATATCTGTAAAATTAAGGCTCTTCACATCTCAAAGTATTAGTTACGATACCAGCCTACAATATCATTTGTTCTTTTTTTGAAATGCTGAAGGCATTCTTTTTCAATGTTATAAGGCAAGGCTACCATCACAAATTCATACTCTACATGTCTAAATACGAAACATCATTGCTGCAAAAACAGGAAAACATTTGAAAATCAGAGAAATGCTCTTCTGTCAAGACAGTTAACATTTTGCGGCTGGACATGTCACACTAATTCTCATTCATAAAATAGGATTTCGATTGATAGGAAACCCAATGCCTGCACGGGCAGGTGTCTTAGTAATTAAGCGTTTCAGAAATTTAAGATGGAAAAATATAAAAGGAGATATTCTTCAGTGACAATTACAGTCGTCAGTCATATTTGCTTGCTTGCACGATTATTGGTTTGTGACGATGCGTGTGATTGCATGTGCAAGTGAATTTTAGTAGAACATTCAACTAAATCTTTCCGCTTGATAGATGTTACAAGTGAATTTAAATTCATATATTACGGTAGTATGTACTAAAAGTGTCACAATCACATTTTCACACAGGTACTGTTTTATCTTTTGTGCTGCATATTGTGAAATTCCTTGCTATTCATTTTCAGACATGCGTGCATCCAGTTGTGCCTTCTCCTCGGGATCAAACATTGCTTTCCGCTGTAAACTGTAGTACTTCGTGGAGTTCTTTATGTCAGCAGATGGATGAGCAGTTGAAAGAAAGCAGAGCACAGCGCGATGAAGCTGACACTGTGGTTGAATTGTAAGTATGCCCCCTTTTAGAATCAAATTTTTTTGTAAAATACGAACCACCAAGTCTAAGTTTCTTTATTGCTAATTGAAGTTATTTAAGTGAATCAATCTATTTTTTTGAAATTGCCCTAATTCTGTTAGGGTGACTGTAAAGTTGTGAAAAAGTTGTTTGCATTGTTACTTGGACATGGTTTATTTGCAAGTGACAAGAGCTTATACAACTTTTTAAAAATGATGCATTGTAATAAACATAATTCAGAGATGTACAAAAATAAGCACACAAGAGCCCGCAGCTAGACTGGCTTACGGTTGAGCAACCTGCACGCGCTTCCGTAGCATAAGCAAACTGAGAGGGTGAGCACACTAAAAAAAACTATAGTTGTGCATGCGTCCGGAAAGTGAAAGGAGTGAAAAACATATAACACGCCTTCAGCTTATCGCCAATAAGATGGAATAGGTCCTTGCAAGTCCTCAAAACAGTTAACTGAACCACAGTGGCATCATTTGTGTAAGTCATCACCTGCGTGGAAACAGAGGTAATTGTGCCCCAGTGAACAGTAAATGAGAAAGCAACAAAGCGGCCGCTTTGTTGCTTCAATTTTGCAGGCGCGAAAAACAGAACCAATTGTCTGACAGATGAAACCAAAACTAGCCACTGCATGCCCAGGCATGACAGGATGCACAAGCGATAGCCATCGCTACACTGTAGTAAAGTATAAAAACAAACAGAGACGAAGCTGCATGAAGAAAATTTATCCTATTCCCACTATGCCAAACAAGAGAGACGATTTGAAAAAGATGCGCTTTTTAAACACGCAAATGGTGTACACATACGTCAATAATTGTGAAAGGGTTAAATGTGCTTGAGCAAGACATAATAAGGTTAAATGTGCATGAGCAAGCCTCTTTCAGCGCACTTCGTGAGTCAGTTAGGACTCCTTATTTGTCACATTTAACAGTTAATGAAGACATACAAAGACATTTACGAGATGTCTGAGGGAACAGCTGTTGATAGTTTGCTGAGCATGTTATTTGTGGTGCAAAGCTTGAAACTTGAAGGCGCAAAAAAAAAGAAAGACAGATGATCGCCTTCTGTCTTTCTTTCTTTCCAGTCCTTTCCAGTCTTCATGTTCCAAGCATTGCACAACAAATAACATGTTCAGCAAACTTACGCAGCAACTTGCCCAGGAAAAAGTTCTTCCAGAACTGTTGTTAGGTTCGTGACATCGTTGTGCTGTTTCAAAAATGTTCAAGTACAGTCACCAACTAGCCTACCTTTCAATTCTTGCCACCCAAAGGGGAAAAAGGGGTGCTTTTTGGGGAGAAGGGGATAAGAGTACTTCTACAAGTGTTTAAATTTATGATATAAAACATGCCATGTTCAGTCCTTGGCACACACTGCTATGTATTGTTGCATTGTTTGCTTAGAAGTCTACACAATGCTCATGTATGAAAAACAGAAAATGTAGTTTACCATCTATTCTGTTAACATACAAATAAATGCTGTCGATATGTAAGCTGTCTATTTGGGACATAAAGCCCCCAGCAATTAATAATTTTTGTCGTCTATGGCCAGAAGCCAGCTCTCGTTTTCAGGTTGAGAACTCCAGTCTTTCGAAACAAACAGCGACTTATTTGCGCTACTTCAAATGCCCTCATGATGCAAGCATGTAACCACTGATGTTTATTTTTCTCTAGTTAAATAATTGGTACTACAGTTGAACATGGATATATTGAACATGAATAGGATCAAAAAATTAGTTCGACATATCAATAATTCGATATAAAAAAATACAAGCCCCAAGAGCTAGGGCAAACCTTGTATGCATAGGCCTCAGGCAAGTGCGGCTTGGCATAGTACGACCATGTGAAGCACTAGGCACTGCTGTTTGGCTTATCGTACGGAACCGAAGCTAGCACCAAGGCAAACTTGCTCTCCTGTGGATGCCTAGGAACCCAGGCAGGCTACAGTTCGACAATTCCCAAAGGGGACGTGGATGAAGGAAAACACGTGCTTACCGTGTGCCGCCCGAAGAGAGAACCTTCCCCGCGCACATGACTCGGTCTCACTGACTCTTGCAGCCCTGAGAGCACGCGCTGCACCGTCCCAAAAGCACAAAAGAAGTAAAGAGAGCGGCAGAGCGGTGAAAATGCTCGCAAAATGGTCGCGGGCACGCCTCAGATTCACACAGGACACAAGATAAAAATCAGTTGAAATTTGCTGAAGTTTTGGTGACTGATGAAAAATATTTAGTACCTTTGAAGTTTTTGAATTTATACTTATAAAATACAAAAAATTGCAACACAATGGCCAAAAAACCAGCCGAAGATGGCTGATCTCAGCTGGGGACCAGCAACCAGCCCAGCCAGCTTTTGCTAAAAAACCCACTGGCTAAAACTTGCTAAACCACTGGCTAAAAAACTGGCTGGGCTGATATAAAACCAAGCAAGTGGCAACTCTGACTACAGTGGAGTACTGTCTGGTCTTTTAACCTAAAATGGTTGGCAAGGCCAGTGTCCAGGCAACTTTTTTATGCTGCTGCTGTATTCGAAGCATGGTTGCACCAACCTAAGCACCACTTCCACATGATATGAAGGTTATTCCACAAAGGCAACAAGCAGACTGAGGTTGTAATGTGATGTGAATTGTTGCCCAGCTGTGAATTGTTGCCACAGTATGACAAAAGACCACGTGAAATGTAAATAAACATAAAGGAATAGATGACATGCAGAAAGAGACAAACAATGCTCTCATTGTGCTGCGACTCGGGTAGTGTAGCCAGTGGGACCTAGAGTGAATGTCGTGCCCGGAGCATTCATCCCGGTGAGTTAAAGAGGGAAAATACTTTTATATACAGTATTTACATGGTTCAGATCACAGAAAACAGACGTGGCGCTCTTCAACGCACCGGATTAAATTGGAAGGTTAGGGTCAGCCCCTCACATTCTCCTCTTCACGCAGTGGCCGGGATTCCACCGATCCTGCAGGACTAGCCAAAGCGTAATGTTAAGCATGCCTAAATCTCCAAAGGCCAATGGCCAGTTGACAATGGTTGGTTATCGCCACCTCGTATGACCCTTTTTGAGAATGTGGCGGTTCATTGAAGATGGACGTAGACAGGAAATGGCCAGACAGCCAAGACCTGCACAGCATCAGCGAGTCAACACTCACCGCATATTCGTGGAGTGCTATTGTTTCTTCCTTCTATTCCACTCAGGAACGTTGCTCAGTCACAAAGAAAGGCAGGAGAAACGACGACTGGCATTGGTTGTCGATGCCAGCAGGGCGAACACTCCACGATTCTTTGTATCGGTCACCACTCGAAGGACGGTGACATCGTGGCATTTGTGCGAGGCACAATTGTCCCTTTAGCACCGTGCAATACTATGTAGTGAACCCCATCTCTGCCACTTCATCATGAGGAATAAAAAAAGTTTAACATGGACAGAGTTGTTCACCTTTCATCAAAGGAGCCCTGACATCAAATTTACTGATGGCAATATTTTTGCGTCAACGAGTAGCTATCAACCCCCTAGTAGCGATGTGGAACCTATAACACAACTGAGGGACGCATAACTATGGCATCACTTTTATTGATTTACCGTATTTACTCGCGTAATCCTCGCACTCGCATAATTCTCGCACCCCCTACATCGCCCAACAAAAGTCCGATTTCTTTTTTTCCTCGAGTAATTATCGCACCCCGAAAACTGCTGCAATAATGTCGTCTGCTCTTTCCAGCCACTGATGATGAGAGCACGCCATCTGGCCCCATCTCTTAAGCATCAAGCGTACTATTGCACAGTTCAATCCAAGCCAAGCCAAAGTGGCCAGTGCGCGTTGCGGCGTGTTTTGTATGTTGTGTCGGTAATCTTGTCACGTTATGAGGCGATACTGAAGCTGTACGGCTGCTTTCAAGTTGCAAGTGATAGATCATGCACTAAACAACGCCAACAGGGCCGCCGGAAGGCCCTTCGGAGTCTACGAGTTTTGTATTCACTACTGGTGACGGCAGCTGAAAGCCACCAAGACGCGTTGGGCCTGCCGTGTGCCTAAAAGTGGGATTGATGTTAAACTTTGTTTTTTCAGAAGTAAACTGCGGACGATTCTGTTAAAATAGCCATCAGCCCAATACTGACGTCCCACGCTTACCTTTTGAGGGCCCCTGTTGAGCGACGAACGCTACCGCTACCTCCGCAACGTCCGCAAGCTTTGCGTATGGTATTCTTTACCATACGCAAACTATATGTATCCAATTTTTGTGTCTCAAATAAATCTTGTCTTGTGTTGAACCTCTGCTTTAATTGTTGAGGTAAGTTTTAATTAGTACTTCTTAAAGCTTGCTGTTAGTCGCTGGTGTGAAAATTCCAATTTGCGGCCACTTCGTTTTCTTTTTCGCTCTGTATGTTTTCGTAGAACGTTTTCCCCGTGTAATTCTCGCACCCCCCAACTTTTCATCGGTTTTACGGCAAAAAAAATGCGAGGATTACGCGAGTAAATACGGTATATTACTGCTATCTAGCACGATTCAAAACAACCGGCAATCCTGCCATTATTAAAGCTGGGAGAGCAACCAGTGGTGCTATCTCGCGGTCACCTGCAGACTGCACCACAGCTGACCGATTCTCCACAGAAAAAAAATTGATGTCAGGTCATTTTCGTCTGCTAGGCGCACACATTCAGTCATGCCTTGTCACCTGCATTGCCGTCATCGTCATACAAAATGTCAACTAGGGTCGAATACAACAGTCTGGAGCTTGGATTCACCGTGATTCACGACATGGGGAATCATTTTTGCTTCTATTGACCTTTTGTAGAACAGTGGTTCCAAAATGGACACTGTTCCAAGCAGCAATGAGAAGGTGCCCGAGAATGCCTGCTTCGGTCACGCTCACTCGTGCATCTAAATGAGCTATATTGGTGTGTGTGGCGTGCAGAGCATCCAGGTATACTCAAAAAGGTCAATGGAATAACGGGTTAAGGGAAAGAGCACCAGCGGAGGATAGAGTACGTTCCCTGCTGCCAGATTCTTTGTGCCTCCAGATGGCCCCACCTATCCGACCTCTCATGGTGGCTGCGGCAGTAACTCGGTATTATGCTGACTCAAAGCCTATGGATGAACTAAAATTCACTATTAGCGATACCTACATGCTACTTGTTAGCGATGATATCTGCTATATGTTACTCCATTTCGATAGCTTATGGTCGTGTTGGCGTGTAACATACGCGTAATTAAAAGACACCCTCATTGCACTTTTTCTGCGCTTTGAATCAGACAACTATAACTCACAATGGCTTCCTGACGCCCTTACTGACGAGGACACGTTGAATCATGCTCTTTTCTTTCGCCGATCTTTTATGGGCGGTTTGCATTTTGGTAATTTCACGAAAGCATTCAAAGCAGTGCGACAAAGATCAAACATGACGAGTGAGTGCGTTTCCAAGATTCAGCACCAGTCGGCGCGAGGATAAGAACACTCGGATTGTACTCGTCATCCCTACTAAAGCAGTGTCACTAAAGATGGTATGCATGGAATGTATCACACCGAACACGTTGCACTGGTATTGATGTTGCAGGGGCACTCCATTTTCTATTAAGCTCTCATGCGCTGTTTGCCGTCGAAATAAAACAACTTCCATGTGACAGGCACCATTCAAATTTGGCCAAGAGGACCTGCGCACACTGAGAAATCAAATGAAGGGCACATCTCGATTTTGAAATTTGATGTCAATGCTCCTTTAATTCATTGGCATATGTTTTGCTGTGCGGATGTTCTGAAATAGAAGAGTTTTCGGCCCAAAACATTGTTTGTTCAAGTACTGCAAATATTCTGCTGTTAATCGACAGTCCTCAACTGAAGCCAATATCCAGTGTCATTCAGCAGAGCTGTGTGCGCTCATTTATACACTTGGGCTCCTTTTTTCACAATCTTTGAAATTTTGCCTAATGTCTACCTACTTAGTGATGTAAAAGATGGCGCAAGTTTTAGCCTGGACTGTCCATATAATTGCTATGGTAATAAAAAGGGGCAAGACGGGTTTCCTGTCAAAAGAATCTAGTAGTGAGCAAAGCTTTGACCCGCGCTTTTGAGGCAGCCAGCTGCGCCGTCTCATCCATTCACGTGTTTCCCAGGAAGACACACGCGCGTTGTCGTGACTGAAATACATTATGCTCCTTGTGTTGATCCTTTGAGACTTTCACTTTAGTGAAAAACTCTACCCTCGTGTGTTCGGCCACTCCTAGCCACTATAAGACTGCAACGCTAATGTTGGCGCTTGCGAGTGAGACCACCTCCCACCCCCTTTTGTTGTTTGCGATGTTTTTTTGTTTGTTTGTATGTCCTTGTTTTGTTTTTTTGTGCCGTGCGCACCCCCCCCCCCCCCCCCCTCTTCTCCTCGTTACCAAAATCTCCCAGATTCAGAATCCTTGAACTTGGCAGGTATGCCTTGCGCACGATCCGATCTAATTGGGGTTCGGGCGGCCCAGTATTACGTCCGAGCCTAAGTGAGCCGGAAACCAGATGATGAGGTGAAGTTCATCTCGCATGGACCTGCCTTTAAAGACCCTAGCTGCCTCTTTTGAGACTAGACTTGATGGAAAGGCCCTCACAGCAGTTCGGGAGTCAGTGTAAATGGTGGTGCGTTTAGGATCTAATTGCGCCATAGCCACTGCTATCTGTTCAGCTACTTCTGCCATTGAGGTGCAAAGTGAGGTGAACAAGAGGTCTCCTTTGTGGTCCACGATAGCGACTGAAAATCTGCCAGCATTTTCGTGATAGGCTGCATCTACGAATGCTTCTGTACTCATCAGATTCTTTAGGAATGCTCTTGCCCTCGCGAGCCTTCGACCCTTGTTTAATTGTGGTATTATGTTTCTTCGGCATGGGTCAACAATGAATGATTCCCTGACATGATTGTCAAGCTGAATTGCCTCACCTTTGTTAACGCCAGGTTGCATGCCTGCGGCACTTAACAGGTCCCTTCCTGCTTCGGTACCGGATAATTTGGTAATTTATGCCATCCTTTGTGCTTCTGCTAGCTCATCCATCGTATTATGGACCCTAACTTAAAAAGCATCTCCGCACTGGTTGTTATTGGGATACAGAGCAAATTCGTGATGTTTTTGCGCATAAGTATATCTATCTTATTCTTCTCTGATTGTGTCTAATTAAGAGCCCATACTATACAGTTCACGTGGCTCTTAAGAAAAGTATGATGAACCCTAAGAAGCATGTCCTGCCCTATTCCGCCTTTCCTACCGGAAACTCTCATGATCAACCTAATTATGTTTTCTGTCTTTCTGGTAAAATGGGCTATGGCCCTGGCGTTAGAGAGCTTGTTCCCCAGCAGCCTCTGAACCTCCTGGACACCAAATTGTTATATCATTCGCGTATAGTGCATGGCTTATGTGTGGTACTGCTGCAAGCTTCCTTGATAGTTTGCTCATGACGATATTAAATAAAAGGAGGGAAATGACCGCTCCTTGCGGAGTACCTCTGTTTCTAAGTGTATATACTTCTGAGGCCAAATGCCGCGAGCCTATTTTTAATATCCATCAAGTACAAGGAGACTTATAGGGATTTGTTGCACGCTTCAAGTGCTTTCTCTTTTCGTACCAGCGAGCACGCTGAAAGGTACACAAGGAGGGAGGGGAAGGGAGTATAAGACAAGGGAGGAAGAAGATGCATCTGTCTGTAAGCACCATTAATAATATAAGCGCTTTTTTTTTTCTTTTTTTCGCAAGTGCACCTTACTTTCAGTGCGATCGTGAGCATGCACATAGGTACGTGTCAGCATTCCGCGGAGGCCGCGCTAACTATGCAGCTCACGATGCTCAAGTCAGCCAACGGCTGTGGACGGACGGTCATTTGAGCTTATGGCATTGTCGAGAGAAAGGGGGAGTGATTTCTAGCTGACTTTGAGAAATTCCAAGCCGCATGCTGGGATATAATAATGTTTGGCTCGTGTGTTCTCAGGAGCCTCAAATACCAATTGGCAGCGTTTTCTGACCATGCTGAAAAAGTGTTGCAAGGCTCTTTTAATCTGTCACTGTAACTTAAGTTGTTATTGCCTTTTTTTTTTTTGTACCTTTAAGTGTAGATTTTGAGAAATATTTGTGACTTACGTGACTGGTATTGCATTTGGTAATTTAATTTCTTCTGCAGGGTCGACGCAAACATCGCCAAGCTGGAGAAAGAATGTTGTGAGCTGTTGAAGAGCATGGCCACAAAATAAGCAGGAAATTACCTCTCTGTTACCTGTGCTTAGAATTCCATCGGTCTCTTCCTTGTTCAGTGTGGCTTTGAAAGACTTATCCAAAGTGTTAAAGGGACACTAAAGGCAACTATCAAGTCGACGTTGATTGTTTTAGTAGCTGCCCAGAAACCTCGTAGTGTTACTTTTATTCCTAGAAAGTGCTTATTTTAAAACAAAATTATGGTTTTGGTGGTCCACATCAGGATAGCACACTCCAAATTACCCACCTCAAGCGGTACGTGTTGAGTCACTGTGGCCATGCACAACGTTGCCCTGGTTTACTGCACAGCCGCTGACACTAGTAGCAGCAGAACGAAAGTAGTGGGAGCCACAGCAGCATTAACACCTTTTGAACAATTTCCTGCCGTGGCCTTCAAGATTGCAGATGTGCTTGGTTCAACTGGGCCCTACTAGATGGCACGACGTGTCCAGTTTAACCAGGAAAAAATTTAATTTTTGAACCACTCACGTCTTTTCTGATGGTAACATGCGGCGGTTTTTTCTTCCATGAATCAAACAGAAATTAACAAGCAGCATTTTATTATGCCTCTTGATGCATGGAAGATTGTTTATTTAGTGCTGCTGGTTCGATTACTAGTGATTAATTTTAGGCAGTACCACTCACGTCATCGGGATCATTTGGGAATATCCTACGCACAGCACATGTGTTCTCATGCATTTACTTTAATTTCTTGGTAAGTAGGGCGCTACTGTTGATAATACCGTATCTACTTGCGTAATGAATGCACTCTTTTTCTAGAAAAATCTGAGAAAAGTTGGAGGGTGTGTTTATTACATGGGGTAAATTTTATGAAAACTTTTTTCGGGAGAAGGAAAAAATGCGGTAATGCAAGAAAAAGTTTGGTTTCTTAGCCTTTCGCAAGTTAGATACGCAAACACTGTTTGGAAACAGCTTCTTTGTTGCACTTTACTCATCTTTGGTGGTTGATAGCGCTATCTTCTGCAAGCTGTCCCCGGGCCGCCCGTGCACAAATTTTGTGACCATCTTTTCTGGCAATCGTCTAACCGCAATTGTGGTATCTGCTTGTGATCTCAAGGAGTGCCCAAAAGCATGCACTCACGGGGGAACGGAGAATGAAGGGACAGAGTGAAGAAAAAGAAAGAAAGTAAGCTAAAAAAGAAGGGGGGGGGGTTCGCAGGAAGCGACCAACGTTGGCTGGTGTGGGCAGTTTGGTGACTTTCGCTCTCTGTGTGCTTATCAGCTGACATATCTCTACACTGGCACCACTGGTGAACCCCCACCGCTGTGGAGCATGGTTAAGACGGGGGAGGTGCCTTGCACAGATAGTAGGAAAAGCAATAGGCACGTGGCAATGGGCGAGGGGGGGGGGGAGCGAGCCGAAGGGGTTGTGGGGGGTTGGCAAAGTAATTAAAAATGAAAGAGAGCCAACGGATGTGGAGGCGCCAGTGTTAGTTAGCGGGACTGCAGCGGATGAATTTATTTAAGGCCTGCGCGTATTCATCAGCTTCCTGCTGATGAATACGCGCAGGCCTTAAAAGTTACCAAAGATCGTTTTCTAAGCAACACCTTACCTACAATGTTGAAGACTAACCCTAAAAAATTTTGGCTAGTGATCAATCCTCAAGAAAGTGATCTTATAGTACTTAATGATCTTAGCGGTATCGCTATACCGACCGACCAATGCTCGAGCATGTTTAATGATGTTTTTTCAAAAAAATTTTCTTTGCCCACCACCACCAACGCTCCCCATGTGCAACCATATCACCACGATCATATGTTTCCTGTCATTCTCAGCTACGATGATGTCGCAAACAATATTAAGTCACTGAAACCATCCTTGGCACCGGGTAGCGATCAAATAAACGTCAAATTCCTCCAAAATACTGTCTGTTATTCATCCATAATACTAACCAAAATTTTTCAACAGTCGCTCAACGACGGTGTTCTCCCATCAGAGTGGAAAGTCGGGAAGGTAGTTCTAATCCACAAATCGGGTAATAAGCATTCTCCCTTAAACTACAGACCCATTTCTCTCACTAGTATACCATGTAAAATATTAGAACACATTTTGGCTTCTCACCTAGCAAATTTTTTAGAGTCACACTCATTTTTCTGTCAATCGCAACATGGATTTCGCAAATCATACTCTTGCGAAACTCAATTAACACTTTTTGTGCATAAACTAAACACCATTCTTGACAAAAGCTTGCTCGCCGTCTGCATTTTCCTCGATTTTTCCAAAGCTTTTGACAAGGTGTGCCACAAACTGCTCATTTTTAAATTACAACTACTTAACCTTGACCCCTGCCTTGTAACTTGGATTAAAAGTTTTCTTACTAACCACTCACAATTCATTTTCGCTAATGGAATTAATTCCGTGAAATGTGCGGTACATTCTGGTGTACCACAGGGCTCCGTTCTAGGTCCGCTTCTTTTTCTAATCTATATTAATGATCTGCCATCTTGCGTCACCTCATCTGTTCATCTTTTTGCCGATGATTGCGTAACTTTTCGCGAAAGTCGCCCTTCTTCATTCTGACCTCACTGCTGTCCTTAATTGGTGTAACACATGGCTCATGGAATCAAACAGTAAAAAATGTAAATTCATGCGTGCGTCAAGAAAGATCACCACTTCACCTACTTATAACTTACATAACACATAATTAGACAGTGTCACCTCATACAAGTACCTCGGAGTTCATATCAGTAACAACCTAACATGGAATACTCATATTAACTATGTTGTTTGTAACGCTAATCGCATGCTCGGATATCTTCATGGTAACTTCATCAAATCACCTTCTTCTGTCAAGCTGATGTTGTATAAAACACTAGTTCGTACTAAACTTGAATATTCCGCGTCTGTTTGGGATCCATACCACCATAATTTGGTGTATTCGTTTGAAATGGTGCAAAATAACTCTGTTCGCTTCATAACAGCTAATTACGATTGAAACGCGAGCATCACACTAATGAAACCTACCCTTAAATTACCTTCACTTGCTTCTCGTCGTACTATGATCTGCTTAACCCTTTTCCATAAAATATATCACCACTTATACTTGCGTGATTTACTAATCCTTCCACCGCATAATATTTCTCGTCGTTTAGATCACGCTCATAAAGTTGGCATCCCATCGTCTCAAACAGAGTCATTTCGACAATCATATGTACCACGCACTTCACGTGATTGGAATTGCCTTCTTGAATCGTTTGTAACAATTTCAGATCGTGACCCATTTGTGACTGTATTAACCAATTCTTTGAATACCTGGTCATAGTATTTCACCTTATACATTTCTAAAAATAAGATTTCACTGTTACCTGTTGTATTTGTTGTACCTGTTGTACTGAAGTGTAACAATGCTCATTGTATACTTAGAAATGTTATTTTATCTTTTTTATAAGAATGTATCTTTCTATTTTCTTATATGCCATTTTGATATTTCTCATTTCTTTCTTTCTTTTGTTTTGTTTCAATCTGCTGTTGTATAACCAAAAACATTGCATTGCCTCTTGCACTTACAAACTTGTTCTGTTGTTTTTACCACTCCCCTCTGTAATGTCTGTTTACCCTGAGGGTAAATGATTAAATAAATAAATAAATAGGAGGTGTGTTTATTATACGGAAGAAAAAATCCAAATTTTGATAACTGAAGTTGGGGGTGCGTTATTATGCGAGTGCATTCATTACACGAGTAAATACGGTATTGTTGTTCTAGATGTTGTCATAGATTGAGCTTTCACTTTGACGCAAATTGTTATTTGACTTAAGTGTCCCTTTAAAGCTAGCCAGACTACCTACTTGTGGCACTATTCAGCCGTGCAGCTCTCTGGAAAAGAGGCTGTCTTGTGTTTTCTCAAGAGAAACACTCATTTCAATACATGTCATGCAAAGTGCAAGAAATATCTTGCTGTTTGCTTATGATTCTAGGGTAGGCTAATGTTAATGCTAAATTGTCCTTATTTCATCATATTCAACATGGCAGAAATTGTATGCACAGCACATATGTGCACTCAGTGTTATACTGTTTCTGCATAGCATCTTTTTAGGTGAAACATCACTGCCTGACATCTGTGTGCACAGTCAGGGAAATGGTTTGACGAGTACATGAAACTCTTCTGGTTTTAATATTGTTCGTTCTTTTAGTAAATGAGCTTGCGGTCTCTTCTTTGTTAGTTTTACTTCACACTTGCATCTTATAGTTGGTACTTTTTTACTGTGATTTTACAATACGAGGTTTGTTATAAAAGTATCCGACGTTTGGTGGAAGAAAAAAAAAGTAGCGTAATTGGAGCGTTGAAAACCTGATCACTCTCAAAGTATTCCCCTTAGGACTCCACACACTTCTCTCAGCGGTGGTGCCATTGTTGGGAGCGCTCTGAGAAAGCCTCTTTCGGAATGGAGTTTAGCTCAGCTGTCATTGAAGCCATAATGTTTTCCCTTGTCTGAAATCACTCTCCTTTAAATGTCCTCTTGAGTTTGGGAAGCAGCCAGAAGTTGCATGGGGGCGATATCAGGAGAGTAAGGAGCCTGATGAACTACAGGAGTCTGACTTTCGGCAAAAAAGTCTGAACCAAGTGTGAGGAATGTGCAGAAGCATTGTTGTGATGGATGCGCTAGTTTCTTATTGATCACAACTCGTGTCTCTTGCGCCCACAGCATCACGTAGGCGATGGAGGACATCCCTCTAGTACTCTTTGATGATTGTTTGATTCTGTGGTGTGTACTTGTGTTGTACCCGCTGCGGGAGTCAAGGGAAGCACTCAGCATCACTGACTTTACTGCAAACTTGGCGGGCCTTCTTTGGTCTTGGTGACGTGGAATTCTTGCACTGTGACGGCTGGGACTTGGTTTCCGGGTCGTACCCGTTCACCAAAGGCTCGTCACCAGTGATAATGGTGTTCATGAAGTCAGGGTCGCTGCTTGTGAAATCCAGCATGTCTTGTGAGACTTGAACACGAAGTTGCTTTGCTCCACCGTGAGCATTTTCGGCACGAATTTTGCCGCAACTATCAACCACCTCAGGAGTCCTTACAGGCCCCTTCAATACCAGGCCGTTCAGAAGGCCCAAAAGGTGGCTGGTAAGCTCCGACTCCCAGTCCCCACATGGCCGGAGCCACCGAGCGGGCCCCCTTAAGGGGTGCCTAGGCTCCTTCAGGACCTTTAATAAAGTTCATTCCTTCTCTCTCTCTCTATTCATGGCCAAATCTTCGGTCATATTGGAATGTGCAGAAAGTGCTGATGCCCACGTCTTCCGCAATTTTCCAGATAGTTGCACAATGGCCGTGCATCATCACAGCGTTCACTTTGACAATGACCTGGCCATTTCAGCATGTCAATGGCCGACTGGAGCATGGCTCGCTCTCCATCGATGTGCGGGCGTTTTTAAATCGGTTGTTCCACTTCTTAATCTTTGTGCGGCCCATAGCCTGGTCACCGAAAACCGTCTTGATCTTTCGAATTGTTTGTGATGCTCCACTCGCTCTGTCATTTTCTTTGCAATGAAAAGCCAACGAGAGCACTGCGCACTGCCTTACCCAAACGCTGCGTGCCAGCGACTGACGCTGTTGGCAGGCAGGAAAAAATTCACGCATGCGCCCAAAGGTTTAAGGGGGGCTGACGCAAGCGCGCTTGTTTTATGTTCATCAGGTGATTGCAAAAAAAAAAAAAATAAATAAGCTCGAATACTTTTCTAAGAGACCTCGTTAATTCAAAGTGTCATG